CCACAACGAACGACAGCCCAGCTCCAGTTCAGGCACCAGGCACCAGGCCCCAGCTCCCAGCTCCCAGCTACCAGCTCCAATCCTCGCACACAGTCCCAGTCGAGCTGACGCTAAGCTTCAGCATCAGGATGAGGCATTGTTTGTTAAGCTAAAGAAAAAGCGCACTCCTATGCCCTACTACAGCTGCTTGCCACCATGCGTGTCTATTGTAATCGCCGTATACCCTGTAATCCTATAGCCATAATCAATCGATTGCTGGCATGCCAAACTATTTATTGTGTTTAACATCATCAAGCTTTTGAGCTCTTCTTCTCCACAATTCCTAGCAAGCTTACGCTGCAGTCTAGCAACACGTCTCTTCTCTGGCCGACTACAGGGTATTTATCGCTGAACAATACAGCATAAAAGAATCATGGCCAAACGGTTTTCTTTGCGAACGCCTTTGACTGCTCGGACGGACTTGGAGCTTGACTGAAAGCGCTCCGCATTGCTATCTCCTCCAGCTGGCAGCCAACAATTGCTCTCGCACTCGACCTTTGCCAGGTGGGCGGGTGGCGGAGGTGTAGCAGTGGGGGTGTGGTAGCTGCAAGCACATGTGCAGCTCGAATGCCACTTGATCGAAAATCGGATGAATTTTTATGCTTGTTTCGCATCACCTTTGGCCATGTCTTAAGCTAAGCACTGGCAGTTGGCGTACTTACATATACCCTGTAAATTATATATGTATGTCGGCCATATAATTTCGATTTGTTGGCATTTGTGCTGTTGCATACTTTCGGGCGCATAATTTAGAGCTTTTTTATGCCTCGGCTCCGCTGGCTTATTAATCGATTATCGATTTCGGCATGCACATAAAAGCGAAATACGACCAAATAAAAGTTGACTTCACGCATTTAACAGCGCGTCGAACAAAAGCGCCACCCAGCGGCCAAATGGCGCATAACAAAGGAAGACAAAGCGTTGTTAGCGGTAGCAGTTAAAGACGTATGTGTGTGTGGGTGTGTATATGCGTGTGTGTGGTGGTGTGTGTGTGTGTGTGTGTGTAGCCATGTCATTGTGTGTGAAATCGTTTCTTGTCGACGCTGCCTATTGAAAGCTAGCCAAGCGCTTGGCTGGCTTATTGAAACCTAATTGAGTCAGTCGCTGTCATTCACTCATTCGCACAGTTTATCAATGGCGCAATAAAAAGCTGAGAAATTGGTACAGCTCTCAATTAGCTTTCGGTTTTGCACACCGACACCAAATGGATGACGACGACGACGACGACGACGACGACGCCGACGTGCGGAGCAGACGCTCCAATGGGGACTCATCTGGCAATTGGCAGAGGAATAAGTGAAAATGTTTTCAGCATTTTGAGACGGACCTGTCAAAATGATAGAGATATACATACATATCTATATATATGGATAGTATATTTAGTATATACATATATGAATATGAGTTTGTCTCTTCATCCCTGTCCCATTCGAAAAACTATATTATTAGCTTCCAAAAGTATTTTCTTTCGATATTCAGTGTCCTAGTAGGAGTGCTTCTGCCCGACTAGCGAATACCCGGAATACCGTATGCAGCTACTGCTTGTAGTATTCCAGCTTATTCCGCTGAATACGTACAAGTATCGAAGATCTTGGAGATTCGAGCTCTAAAGATGAACGAGATATACTTTTATAGCTCGATTTTGATGAGGTTTATCATCGATAACATTTAAATTGCAATAGTTATCGATTTTTCTTTACAAAATCGCGATTTATAAGTGCTACACACGTACCCACAACAAACTATCAAGCCTCTAGTTCTCATAAATTCTGAGAGCGACGCGTTTAAACGTTTAAACGGTCGTACCGACAGTTAGACTGACAGTGCTATATCCACTCAGCTCATCGCCCTGATCAAGAATATATCTACTGTGGGGGTGTGCCACGCCTACGTCTGCCTGTTACATATATTTCCTTAAACTATTAACCAAAATTCATGTACTGATTCTGCACTATAAAATAAAGATTAAAACACAAATAAAACTCATTTTGAGTGTGCTCAGAGCTGTTTGAATTAGTTATAAATCGAAAAATCAAAGAAACTGGATCAATGATCGCTCGAAACTCCATTCTCTCAAAGAAAAATCAGATAAATAGCTGATTAGATCTACTCAATCAACTTCAACCACATTCGATAGTTCTTAAGTAAATCATCTCCAGATGCTATCCATCGCCACCCCATGTGGAGCAGGGTATCTTTTCGTCATTCACTGTCGACACTCGGAGCACTGCTACGCATTATACTTAATTCTAGTAGCTGCAGTTAATTAAACTAATGAGTTTTGATGGATGATGCTGGCTGCCTCGGCTGCAGCTCGGTGACAAGTTGACAACGCTCCACATTCACATTCACATCCAAAGCCAAATCCATATCTGTATCCGTATCTCTCTGGCCTTCTAGTAGGTTGGCATTTGATAATTAGTTGAACTATGCACAAAAGTTAGATATATGGAATGCAACTGGATGCGAAAGCCCTTTGCAAATATGCAAATCACACCGATACACATGCACATGTATGCATGTATGTGCACACACACACACATATATATAGATTATGCAAACTTTCGTGCACTCTTGCTGCTCGAATTAGAATCCCGTCATGAATTTGCGAGTGTGTTTGCGTAGCGTGAGTGCGCGTATTCGGCAAATGGCAAATGGCGAATGGCGAATGGCGCACACGGCGAATGCGTAATAAGTGAAGAATCAACATGGAAACAAAAGTGGCGCATCATCAAGTGCCACGCCGCCTTGAAGTATGCGGCAACAGCATTTCGGATTTCGGATTAATCAAACCATCAAAAACCCATTCTGCTCAAAGTGCTCCTCATGTATTCAAATTAGAATTTTCCCTTCTGGGCATCTAATTCCCAAAATTAAAATATGATTTGATCAGCAAACTGTTTTCCACCCACTTATCTCCAGGTGCGCACATAAAAATACATTTTTATGCTCGTTCACAACGTGAACTGAGTTTACTGGCTTTAAGCAATGTACGTCCGTTTGTCAATCTGTCATTCCGTCCGCCCGTCAAACCCTACTTCATACTGCCCTGCTTTTGTCATTCACTATCGACTTATTCGATAAGCCGATAAATGATCTCGATAATAGAACCAAGTTTGATGGACAAATGATTCCACAATAATAATATCTGACTACATTAAGCTCAATCGCTATCATGGTACCCTGAACCCATTTTCAATGGGAAATCAGGGTATGATGGTTTTGTTTAATGTATGTAACAGGCAGAAGGAGGCGTGGCAGACGCCATAAGGTATATATATATATACATATTCTTGATCAGGACGACGAACTGAGTCGATTTAGTCCTGTCCACCCGTCCGTCTGTCCGTACGTTTGAACACGTCGATCTCTGAAACTATAAGAGCTAGAAACTTGAAATTTGTTTTTCTAGGTACGTGTATATTACGCGCATATCAAAATTATCTCAACAAATCGATAACTACTCCCATTGCTTTGATAACGATTAACAACCCTATCGAACATTATTTATTAAATTATATCTCCAACATCTTTAGAGCTAGAGTCACCAAATTGAAATTGTTTATTCATATGTATTTTATAGAATTTAGATTTTTGTTATATTTGTTATATGCGTGTCTGTGTGTGTGTATTTCTTGCGTAAGCAAAAAGACGCTGAGTATTACTGAAATATCGGTTTCTCGAAGTGTTCAGGGCCTTTCGTAATCGAGCAGTCTCGACTAGAGCTTTCTTACATGTTTTCATATACAAGAATCACTTAAAGCTCAGCTGAGTCTCGCCTTAAAGCCTCAAGTCTCGCTCTTGATCCACGTCTGACGGCTGAGCCTGTCTCTTTGGCATCAGAGAAGCATTGCGGCACAAAATAAATGCACGCTCATGCAAAATTTATTAGAGTCCGACGTCAAGTGGCTGCCTTCAGTGGCGCATTGGCTCTGCCGCAACATGAGTGTGCCCGTGTCTGTGCCTGTGTGTGTGTGTGTGTGTTAGTGTGGTGCACAACATAATTCAATCACTTGCAAGTGCAAGTGCCTACGAGTTGAGGCCTCGAATGCCAGAAAAGATGGCGGCCACAAAAGGCAAAGGCGCTTGCCATTTTGATATGATCCCAAATGCGATTCGCTTGGCTCATCATCAAGTTGATGTTGTTGCTGTTGTTGTTGTTGTTGCTCTTGCGGTTGTTGCTGCTGTTGCTATTGCTGCTGCTGCTGTTCTGAATAACCGCAAATTTCAATTTTCCGTTCATTAAAATTCGTGAATAGCACACATGCACAGCTCAATACACACACGCGCCCCACCACATAACACACACTCGCACACACACACACACACACACACACACACACACATGCACTCATATGGCATGCGAGCGCGCAAATGCGGAAGCAGTGAAAGTCAAATGAAGCTGCCTTCCTGCGCCTGGCTTGTGCATGGCTAGAGCTGGGCTGCGGGTGGAGTGGAGTGGGGTGTGTGTGTGTGTGTGTGTGTGTGTGGGCGTAGAGGAGTGGCTCTGGCTGTGGCTCTGCCTGCAGGCAGTTGAACATCATTTTCGCCTACTTCCGTCAGCTGAGTCTGAGGCCCACAGTCGAATGCCGAGCACGCCGCATCCTTCACACGGAAACTCAGTAAAGATTTCCCAAATTGGTTTTCAACAAAATGAAAAATTCATATACGCGGCAGCAGCGCAGTCAGCGAGAAGGCAGCAGAGAGAAGGAAAATAAAAAAATAAAAGAGCGAAGAAAAACCCCAGCCGAAGGTCGTGTTTGGGTTGAAGGTATTTCTTGTTGGTGCGTGTGTGTGTGTGTGTGCGTGTGCGTGTGTGTATGTGTGTACATTGGAAAAATGCCGTTAAGTAAACCTGTTGAAAAGCGCAGTCCACAGGCTGCCAAGGCAAGGTAAGGCATAGGCATTCAGCCCCAGTCAGGCAATCAATATTTTCACAATTTTCACGGGTCTCAACTTACCGTTATAAATATCTGATGCCGTCGGCACATGCTCCGGATTGAATCGGTTCTCCAGATATGACAAGATCAAATTGGTTTTGCCAACAGCCCCATCGCCAACCAGCACGCATTTGACTGACGGCTGTGTGCCACGTTTAGCTAGACATGGAGATGGAGAGAGTGAGAGAGAAAAGGAGAGAGAATGAGCATAAGATTATTTGCTTGCAAATTGCAATTAATTAAAAACAAAGTGCAACAGCCAACAGAGAGCGAGAGAGAGGGAGAGAGGGAGACAGACTAACAACATCTAAACAGATAAAAAAGTCGAGCAACAAAATGATGGCAATTTGAAAAGTTTGCATCACTTTGCACTTGCTGCATTGTTGCTATTGTTGTTGTTGTTGTTGTTGTTGCTGTTGCTCGGCCATTGTTTCGATTTAATGCATTGGCCGTCGTCTTCCTTCCCCCGCCCTTCCCCTTTCCAATCACCCACCATTCAACATTGCCACACCTCCTTACCTTTGTGCTCGCCATTCGCAGCCGCTGCCGCTGCCAGCGCAACGCTCGGACTTTCCGTTGTCTTCTTCGATTTGCGTTTCCGCAATAAAAACTTTGCACCTTTGCCGCTGTCCGCACTCGTATCGCTCAGCGATTGTTGCTGCAATGAGAGAAAACAAATTTCGCATTTTATTGAATGAGGCAGCTCTGCAGGGGATAAACTCGATAAACAGATAATGCAAGAGGCCCAACTAAACCAATCACTGGGCCAACGCCTTGCAGCTGCAGAACAAAGCAAAGCAGCGCAAACAGCAGATTGATGAGCGCTGCTCCAGAGTTGGCATTCAGTGCGGCGCCTCTTTGGCCCCCTACTTTAGCCTTATCTTCTCTATACACACATATTTCATACAAGTACCTAGACTTTGGATAGACGAAAGTGACACCTGAAAGGATTCTACTGGCAAAAGATCTAGTACGTACGATTCAAGTTACCTGGACTGGCCCACTAAGACTTTAAGATTTTGAGCAAAATGCGCTATAGAGCCATAGGCAATAAGTAGCATTAAAAAGAAAAAAACATCTTATCATCAAAGAAAAAAAAGTGAAGTAGAAACCATCATGATAATGAGCTACTACTCTCTATTAAGCTACAGAAAAACCTGGTTGGAAAAGAATTATAATAACTGTACTATAAAAGTAGGACATAGACGTAGCATGGACAACCCTGAATAATAGAAGAATTATAATTATAATAACTTTACTATAAAAGTAAGACATAGACGTAGCATGGAAAACCCTGAATAATATATTAGTTTGAATAATTTATTATTTAAGTCGATAATTCGATATTTCTAAATTGCAAGGGGATCAGTTTTTTTTTCGATTTATACAGAAATTCCAGCTATCGAGATTATTGAGAACAAATTTTATTCAAGTGGATAAATTTTTTTCTCGATTAACCGTAATTATCGATTTAGCGGGATACAAATTATCGAGACTCGACTGTATAAAAATAATACAAAAATCGCAATATTTTTTAATATTTCTATATACATATAAATATTAAAGTCTATTATTATTATTGGTATTTGAGTTTGTATTCGTATTATCCTTATTGTATTATATTATTATATTCGATATAATTTTGCTATGAAAAAAGTGTGACCACAGCTCAATTAGAGTGTATATAAGGGCTGTGGGATAAATCCTAGTAGTCCAAGATAAGAGCCAGCTAAAGAAAGGGTAGTTTTTCTAGTCTGTAAGCAGATATCGAGTCTGACCTGACTGACTGACTGATAAAGCAATCTCTCCTATCTCAGCCATATTAATTAATTTGTATAATCATTTAATATA